ATTTATTTATCTATTTATTGTTCCTCTCTTGTTCTGGGCCCTCAACAGGCTTTCGCTCAATTACAGATAGTGACCGGCATAATGCTTTTTAGAGGTGCAGAAGCTTCTATACTACTCCGGTGTTTACCTTACGAATTAGGAAAACTGCAAGAAAACCTAACCGTGAGGAAACTAAATGGGAATTAGTAATATAAAGTAAGAAGGACGGTTAGAAATGTAATTTTAATTCAGATGTAAATAATAGTATATTATATACCGCGGGACTGAAGTAGTACTTTTAATCCCGAAGGTAAAGTTTATGGCCCGACCGAAGGGAGGGCCATAATTTACCTGAGGGATTAAGACCACTACTTCAGTCGCAAGGTATATACGATATTTTTCGAACTTCCGAAACTGAAACACTTAATATGTATGGAGTTAGAGAACGCGTTCTTTCAAAAAATCGCTGCTTAACAAGTTACCATAGGAACGTTGCGTTGGTACGACAAACCACAGCCGTCTATAATTACAAGCCATGCTGAGAAGTTTGGCAACGTTGTTCGAAAGTCAATCGGTGGGCCGATTTGGGCCGATTTAAGTTTTAATGGCGTCTTGTTGCTCCTGAAAAATGGCATTTTCCTTTCTCCTGTGTTTCGCCTTGGCGGTTTTAATATAGAAGAAAGAAAAAAAACCGACCCATTGATTGCCCTTGTAAGCGTACGGCACCTTTCCATACTCGTCCCATTTGGCAGACCATCCTGATTCTTTACTCAAAATTTCGGGGCAAATCTTGAAATATATGTTAAACATTAAAAATCGTGAAGTAAATTATACCTCATAATAAGCTAAGAATCCGGTTGCGTTGGTGTACTTTCCAGGATCGCCACCTCCAGCTTCTTTGTTGATGTATGTGCCCAAACTATAGTCATTGTTACTATTACTAAGAGTATATGTTCTGCCATAGTACGGAATTCCAACCACTAACTTTTTGGGTGAGCATCCATAATTAACCCATAATTCTAGTCCGTCTTAAAATTGTGCATATATATTATTTATTTACAAAAATGGATAATAACATTTTTATTTGACTTTAAAATTCGGAACGCTGCAAATTGGTAACTGCATCATAATGTGTTTTCCATTGAGATCTCCGAAATTGGTGAACTTCTGTCGAAAGATGTCGAAGTGAAGCACACGCTTGAGCACTTAATTTCGCCAAAAGGACAGTAAATCGCTGTGAATCAGCGAGGTTTTATCAACGACCAGATGTGATTCGGAATGGCAGACTTTAAGCCAGTCCCTACTCCAGTGGGTCTAGGTACGCAGCTTTTAAAGAGGGGAGCCCCATAGACTTCAAATTCCCGTACCGTGAACTCCTGGGAATAAGTTGAAAGGTTCCTTCAGAAAATCGATTTTACATGTCCGTGCTAGAATACCTGAAATACAAACTAATTGTATTTTTTCACGATAAACACTTACCGTACTTACGTACCACGTAGTGTGTAGGTCATATTTGAGCTTGTGCAGGTACTTTGAACCAATACAAGTGCTTGTAAAGGGTCCAGTAAGGAGTAGCCTGCTTTAGAGGTTATGACAACAAATCGATATATTTCGCTAAGCAACTTACCTGAATAATAATTCCTGTTCATCCCATACGGAGTAACACAAATTGTCGCAATCTCGCTCTATTAAAACAGGTAAATTGGATTATTACACCCAAAACACATATAAAATACACCCAAAATCTGTCAAGTTGAATTAGGAAATCGGCCTACCATGCAGTGTTGCCATAATTCTCAGCACGGCTTGTAATTATAGACGGCTATGGACAAAACCTATGCTTTGGCAACAAAAATAATTTGGAAACTGTCATTGCTAGTGTCATAATTTTGGTGGTAGGTGACAAAGGTGTATTTGATATTGATAAAAAGCAGCCAAACTAGGTAAAGAATTAATACCACCGAAATCCAAAAAAGTATATGAGCAGCAATACGATGCGTTTAAGAAGTGGTGCCGCATACACAATGTGGAACAACCTACTGAAATTGCCTCGTTAGTAATTTCATCCTTCCGGGATTTTCGTCCAAATTTAATCCCGGCGGGACAAAAAGTGACACTTCAGTACTTGTCATAACGGAGTGAAGTTGTCACTTTAGTCTCGGAAGTACGAAAAGTAACATTAATTTATACTGATTTACGTATGTATATTCAGGATGAGAAATTGAAGCGGGTTTTTGCGATCTAAATGAAAGCGAGGGGAGTTTGTTAAAGTACGTCTACCGCAACCGAATATTAAATGAAAAAAATGATTCAAGTCCTCGTGTGAGACCGAAAAGACTTCAGACTCCACCATCAATAAGATCTTGTCGGGAGCAACCATATTCCCTTTTCGGTGTTCACTTCCGACGTCCCATTCATCCGCAATTCGCGTTTGAAGTGTTGACTCCACCATCAGTAAGATCTCGTCGGGGGTTCCATATTCCCTTTGTCGGTACCCACTTCCGAAAAAGCTTATGTTAACGCGAGTTGAGTATTTAAATGATTCGTCTTTGTAATATCAGTGCTTATGAGGTACCTACTTGAATAGCGACGCGGGAAGTTGCAGTCGTGACTTTAAAATTCTAAAAAAAATTTATCAACACCCAACTTGAATTTATTTCCACAATAATATTGTACACCCTGTATATACAATATCATCAACAAAATTGTATTGGCATCCCTGGATGGGATTATCTTGTTCTGTGATATCTCCGTGACCGGTAGGCTGTCAGGTACATCAAGATGGCTTCGATCGGACAGTAAAGCTTTCACACGCCCTATACATAAAATAACTTCCACATTGTTACCTTACGAGATCAACAGAAAATACCGCGATATCTACAAAATATAATTGTAAATAGTAGGAAAGAAGCATTCGTTCAACGGCGTCACGCAGTCATGCCGTAAAGCTGCAGACGAGGAGTTACGTAGCATTTCAAAGGAAGAAAGTTAAGAAGGTTGAAAATTACCACGGCGGAATAATCAGCGATCATTCTGTGGCCGGTCCGTGTAGAACACAGCTGGAGGCCAATGTTGTTGTTTGCCTCGTCGTTTATTTGAACTAGCGTCGTAGTGCATTTCACAAAAAAAAACTACTGAAGAGATTTTTATTCCCAAGTGCCATATTAATTAAAGGCGATTTAAGCACCTACTTGCGTTTGGCATTAAGTTGATGTTTTTGGAAACGCTATCTGCTTGTAAAATTTTAGACTCGCGCCTGAAATTTATTAATGTATGAACTTTTTGCTGTTCGATTTATTTTTGTTATACAGAGTGTTTAAGAAACTACGAATTTTCTTTTAGCACCTGACGGTGATTCAGTATACATTGCATTTGGTTCATATATAAATAAAGTTGATTAATTTTCACATTTAATCGTCGTATTCAAATTATTACAACTTATTAAGTATCAAATAAAAAACCTTCAAATTATAAAGACAAGAATTTGTGAAGTGGTTTACTTTGCAAATGTGAAAAATAATCTAGCCAAATTACATAACATGAACCACGTCCAGTTTAATCAAGATAAAATCTTAACTCACGTCACACTTGGGATTTGCTAACTTTGCAAGAAATTACTCCACGTGGAGTAATTTGATAGATCTCAAGCGTTCTGATTGGACAAATAAGTTTTGATTGATGGGAAAGGCGTAAGTAAGAGGATGGATGTTAATCAAATAAGTAAAGTAGTACGAAGTTGGTTCTTTGAAGAGAGCCATCAGATAATTGAGATTAAGGTGCGGGAGAATTCGCGTCGAAATGTGAGCGTATTAAATTTCTTAAATCGTAAGTCACAGTCTATGACAACACCCAAACACTGTCTTTTACAATTAATTCAGTTGTATTAACCCTAACCTCCAATTGAGACTTAATCTGCTCTCTGATTCTAGACTGCCCAAACAGAATTACTGACGACTTAGCGGAATTGATTCGCAAACCATGGCTTTCAGCTGTTGTAATTGAACTGCATATGTCAGTATTCAGTATCTCATTTGTACGAATTGCATCATGGCTACTGAACTCATACTGGAGCAGTATGTCATCCGCATATTGATGAATTTTAGTCTCAGTTAAACTTTTGTGGAAATTAAAGGTATATAATATAAAAAGTAATGGACCAAGGACAGGTCCTTGCGGCACACCAGCCGTTATATGAGCCAAAGAAGATTTTTCCCAGCAATCATAACAAGTTGCGTTCTATTTTCCAAATAATTGGGAATAAGCAAAGCATGATGATGCAATGCTGATTAATAAACTAATATCTGTAATCATTACCGTGCTGAAAAACCGAAAAGGGAACCAACGTAAACCCGACGACTCGCGTCTGTTTTTATCGCAGACCACGGTATTCAAAACCGTCTGGCTGTCGCCATTAAATCTAACTGAAATTATCGCGAGCGTAAGCTCACATCTTTACCTGTAGTTAAGTTTAGCTACTATTGCAGAATATAAATTAAAAGTTATAAATAAAGAGCAAACGTCCTCTATATTTATACTTGTGTTGCCTTGTAAACATTTTCTTTTAATATCGGTTAAAAAGTAATAAACTTAATTGCTTTCTCAGCCAAGCTCAAAATACACTCAGATCGACTTCATCCCAGTTTGCTACGTGACAGTAAACAAGATTATCCTATACAAATAGGATAAACAATATTCCGAGAACGCCCAAATAGAATTAATTACAACGCGCTCTAAAGCTTTAGAGGTTAAAAATTGCGACAATTCGAGTCATTTCACTTTAACTGTAATTGAAGTCGAACAATACGCCCTAATATCTCTTCGTGTTACCCCTGAATTTGAATAACGCACATTCTCTACTGTGAGGTGGCAGTAAACCCGCTAGTTACAGGCCATACAAAAGCTTCTTACTAATATGTACCAGCTCGGAATTAAATTAGGTTTTGTGTTTGAAATATTCGAGTCTGTACGCTTGTTTTTTAGGCATTAATTAGTACAGAAACTGTAAATTAATTTTGTTACAGAGATCGAGGCACCACAGAGATTCCCTTTCGATTTCGTCTTCAACAACACATATCACCCTATTAGAGACAAGTAAGTAACTTCGGCTCCCTTACATTGACCTATTGAGGGTTTGCTTTGCGTTCATCAGGCCCATGCTTAGTGCACTACTGTATGAAAGGACACGAATGCACACTCACAGAGGACGGTGAAGCGAAATGTGTATGCCAAAGACAGTGCAATGTGCATCATAAATTGGTGTGTGGTTCTGATGGACACATCTATCCAAATCACTGCGAGCTGCACAGAGCAGCCTGCCTTACTAACACCGCTATCAGCATAGAGCGCGGGGTGCACTGTGTTAAACACGGTATGTAAATGGAACAACACAATCTGTATCTACGATTTAATTTATAATAATGTATGCAAATTAGTTTTGGTTTGTTTAATACTGAGAGTGGCAATGTTCTATCACTCAACTACGGATGTTACAGGGAAAGGGTGGGCCCCAACACTGGAGCATACGAACCTATATTTTAATCAGTTAGCAACAACAACACCCACAAACTTAGCTCTAGAAGACGACAACACCACAATTGAACCTTCGCGACCCACAGAAGATAACTTAATTACCTCTAATGCGGAAGAAACAACAATCTCATCAACTGTAAGCGTAAACAGCGAGTCCTTAATACTAAAAGATAAAAAGAAACTTCTAGGTCTCGACGAACACTTTTTCAAATTTAGACGCGGAAATCGATAACGAAATTAACGTCGATATCGAAGAGAGCAAGAGGGGCTGCTCCATGCAGGAGTACGAGATAATGAAAGTAAGGGAAATGCGATTATTTTGGTAATTTTACTTCCATCGCCGTTTTTAGGATAATCTGTTGCTTTATAATCACGCCCGCCTCATGTCTCAGGATAATCACAGTAAAGATTATCTAGTTTCGATAATGTTCTCGCACTACGATCAAAATAACAATGGCAATTTGGAAATATCGGAATTAAAAACGGTAAGTAAGATTAAAATGGGTTCGCTAATGGGCTGTGGGAAAAAATTTTAAAGCGGCCATCGGCCGGAGAGCGTATGCATTACCCTTCCATTTAAAAGCGGGCAGTTTGAGGGTATTATCCAGATCACCGTGCGCGAAACGAATGCAATGAATACTGGACGTTTATTCGATTGTAAATCTCCATAGTATTACCACAGACAAAATACTACAGACGGCTCATGAGATATACGAAATGTTTGCGCTGAAAAAACATCCGTCTGCTAGCGCTACTGCCGTAAAATGTTCAAATGCTTAGCTCGTAAATGCACTTTTTCATCGTAAACGAATGGTTGGAAACTGTACTGTAATACTGTTAAATAAATATGAGAAGGCATGCGTAATTTAAATGATTTAAAGAAAAGAATATCATATTTCCTTAAGTCAAAACACTTTATCTGTAGGTCAGGATATCCCATCTCAGGTGCATATTATAATTACGAAAGTTAGGACATTTGCAAATAAATTTTCTCGTTATTTTTTTACGGATACGAATTACAACGGAATGACACCATTTATTCAAAAATACATTTTCATGAGGTGGGCCATTTTCGCTGAGACGGAGCTCCTCCGTTTTTGCATTGTGTAACCATTTATTGTGGGATGCCGAATATGAACTTTGAATTAAGGTTTAAAGGGAATCGCATTACTTAACCGTTAAGGGATATAAAAAAAGACACTAACACTTGAACAGTTCATATACACCTTTTCTTTTCATAAAGACGTATTTTTGTGTTTTAAATAGTCTATTATTACAATTATTGTTTTAAATACCTAGATACTTGTTAATTATAAAAATGGCCAAAGCAGGAAATATTTGTCAATACTTTCAATGTGGTGTTTCAAAACGAGTGGAACCCAATCTAAAAATGTATGGATTTCCTTTTAAGGATGAAAACCTGTGCCGCGTTTGGGTTAATAATGCTGGTTAGTCCTTCTTGTTTCATTGATAGTATGAACTATTACCAATTAATGCTGCTATGAAGTTCGCCGTGAAAAATTGGTGGTTCGAAAATGAACGAATGGTATCTAATCCTTAATTCAAACGAATTGTTGTGTCGCAACTACTCTACGTGGCGAGATATACGAGAATCGAATGTTATATTATCGAAAATACTATACGCAGTTAACGCAGCGCAGTTTAAGTAAACGGCATAAAAAATTCGCTATGTGTAATGTGTGTATCAATTTCGTTTGCAGAACCGAAGATAACTTTGTCATTTGTTAATGTTTGTTGAGGTTGAGGTTTTCAGGTTTCACTTTCTCATTACTGCGTGACTTATTTCCTACTTTTAAGTTTTAAATGTTGCACATATAAAAGCTTGCCGACATTGTTCTTAAATGTCATCGATTTCGATGCAAACAATCTAATTTTGAGCTTTGCTGGTTTGTGATACCTACATTCAATTTAGAAGAAGGGTATATTAATCGCCGGAGGTTTTCCGAAATCATTTCGGTATACTATGATGAAGTTGACCGGCTGTGATTTTCTGGAACCGGATTTTCCAGAAACGGGAGAGATACCTTGAATCATCCAAACAAGTTTTGCTACACTGAATTCTGAAGAAGGTAATTCATTTATCTTTGGGGATTTATGCAGAATTTGTTTGGGGCTCTCAGCTCTCATCAAGTTGAACAGGTAGGTACCTTATACATTTTCGAATCGCCCATTTTTGGTGACCAACTTCACGGTGGCCCAATTATATACAATCATCAAATAAATCTTCCCTATAGATAAAAAAGCACGTCTTTACAGGGGCTACACATCTGATTCCACTGTCACCGAATTCATTAAAAAATAAAAAAATCTGTGAAAAACATTTCCGATTGGAAGACTTCACAAAATCTTCCAAAGAAAGGCTCATTAAAGGCGCAGTGGTAGAATCCAAATTAACCGGATAAAATCGTAAATTGGTAAATACATCAATATGAAAGGAACGGTATTTTGTGAATTTTATCACCTTTTTGTGAAATTGATATCGGTTGTTGTAAAATAAGTATTTTCAAATGACTTTGGACACATTTAATTATATTGAGAATCAAATAAACAAATATAGAAAACGAGCTCCTGGGTATGGCTGTAGCATGTGCAAAACCAAATTTTAATCCTGATGTTAGTTTTGCTTTTATTTAAAGTGTAATTGTATGACATTTCATTTAATTGCTTCCATAAATATGAAAGTTGGCACTGCGCATGCGCAAAACCAAATTTTGAAACTGGCGTTAAATTTGCTTTTATTCCAAGTGCCCATGTATCAAATTTCATTTAAATACCTTCATAAATAAAAAGTTTGCAATTCAGTTTATAAATGGTCGAGATGCGAAAAGGGCATTGTGAATATTGATCGATTAGGCTCAATTTTTGGAATTGCGTTTTATATAGCTAAATCTATATGCATATTGAATTTCATGCAATTCGGTTCATAACTCACAGAGATGTCAAAAGGGGCTTCCTTATTTTTTGGGCTACATTGCCAATTCACGAACTCCGATCTACAAATTTGATAAAAGAATCCCTGTACTAAATTTTACTGTCATCGGTCCATTCGTTATCGAGATATCGTGCTAACGGACGAACTAGGGAATGCAATACCGGGATCCCGCGGGATTTGCGAGACTGAGAAATTTGTCGACCAAGGGACGACTCTTGTTTACTTTGTTAATGAAACTCATAACGGAGAAGTTATTTTTTAAATAATTGTTAAACTTTTTTCGTTAAAAATGTACCTACTATGATTTTTGAGGCACTTTAGTTCACCTTTTGTGCTTTACAGGTGAGGTTTTTTTGAGCTCTAAGTTAGGCTGAAGGTAATTTTTTGTTAAATATTGTGATAATTAGCGATTTGTTTTAATACAGACCGCACAGAATTGCTTATTTGCCAATTTATTTAAAATTTTGCGGAATCCCGCAAATACCGGGATCCCGCGGGATTAACTTCTAACAATCCCGCAAATACCGGGATGGAGATTTTGCTGCGGGATTGCATTCCCTAGGACGGACAGACACCGCAAAATTATAAACTCGCTAGGGCTCGTTAATAAAGCCATACTTCGCTTGCGATGACTGGTGATCAATCAAACTTGCTTGAATTTCAAACCATCGCCCAAAGTAGCATCGCATCGCATAAAATAAACGGAGGTTTGAATTTATCGCATCGCACAGCATTTCATCGCCCATCGCGCGATAGCCAGCTGTCTGAAAGTATATTAAAACGATCGTACGCCAGTATGGATTTTTTGAAATAACAAGCATTTACCGTACTTATTTTTCAAAACATTAAACCCATATTAAATAACAATTAGGTACCTATAGTAAATAATAGGTATTATTTCATCCTATATAGATATCAGATATTAACTCATTGAGGACATTAGGAATAACCAGCCGCTATGTTTAACAATTTTCTACTAGTTACAACCTTTGCAAATGAATAAACAAAGCTACAACTTGTTTGTGAGATTGTCGTACTATAAAGTGGAGTTCATTCACTACAAAGAATAAATGATAAACATTTTATCGCAGACGGTGTAACACTATACCTTTAGGTATTACCTATGTTATATAAATAAAAGATTTTTTTTCTCTCTTCTGCTATAGGAACGTTGCAGAAATCTTTCTAACTAAGAATGAACTTTAATTTTAATGTTTGGGTTTGAAACTGTACTAGAAAGTTAATTTGGATTTAACACACTTGGCGGTGAAATCCAAATTTCGCGCAGCATATTTTTACATGGCGTGATATATCTGGTATTTTAATCTGTATTTTATATCGTGTATGGTATTTTAATCTGGGCTAAAGGTAGTGTTACCATTACGCTGTCTGCGATAAAATGTTATCAATCTGACACTCTTTGTAGTAGATGAACGGAACTTATAGTAGGACAATCTCAAATCTGTCTTCTTTCTGGTTTATTCCCATGTAAATGTTCAGTATCATCAAAATCGTATTTAATAGTCAGGCGCCCTTAATGAGCCTTTCTTTGGACGATTTTGTTAAATCTTTTTCACAGATTTTTGTTTATTTTTTTAATGAATTCGGTGACAGTGCAATGTGCAATCCGATGTGTTCACTTTAACTACTACCATTGAATAAAGTTTCTTATTCAATGCTACTACTTAATTACGTACAACATTTTTTTAAATATATTATATACACATAATTCCACCACCAATGATATATCAAAAGCTCTAAATTGTCTCTGCAATGAATTAAAATAAAATTGTTTTTTGCTGACAATCCAAAACACATTTAGTTAACCATATTTTACAGATTAAGTGTAGGTACAGAGATTAGGATTTTCTCTTCTGTAAATTGAAACTCGCCAAAACGTTTTACGACATTATTCTTTAATATTTCGGACAGGACACAATAACTATTTACAATTTTGTTTTGAGATTTATCACTTTATAACCATGCACATGCTTTTTAAATAAATGGACAAATCTGCAACATCGTCTATTAGTTGATACGCTTCTTTCTTGAGTTTAAGGTGCTCCACAGCTTTGTCAAGAGGTAAGTGCCATGTTTTTTAAATCTTATGTATAACGCTAATGAGTAATGCGAGTCTGTACATACATTGATGTAGTTTGGCTAATATTGCAACAGTAATAACATTACATCGTAAATATTTTATATTTTTTTCTACTCATATTAAATAATATGTACAGGGTGTAAATCGAAAAGTGAAACATAGGCGTTTAACATGGGAAATTACTTTTTCTTTGCGCAAACGTTTCCTAATTATTTTACGCAAAAATACTTCAAACAAAAGTTATAGAGATATAAATTCTGCAACTAAATCATGTGAAATTATTATTCTGCTTCTTCTTGTACGCGAAAAAATTAATTATAAAGGTGCTGTTTTCAGGAGCTTTTAGTATAAGTAGCCATGGATTATGATAAAAGAAAAACAATTGCGTTTTTTTAACTGGCTACTTAGACTAAAAGCTCGTGAAAACAGAACCTTTATAATTAATTTTTTCGCGTACAAGAAGAGGTAGAATGATCGTTTCA